ATTTTTTCTTAATGTGTTGTTGCGTTATTATATTTTGTAATTTTGACAGAGATTGTTTCAGAAATGCTTGTTTTGTTTTGTATTCTTATTCAATATAGTTCCCTCTTTTCATCACAAAATAGCCCCGTTTATAGTCTGCATTTTCTTTCAGAAGATTGGGACAAAAATAGCCAAATTTTTTGAATAGAAAATAAAAATGACTCAAATTTTGTCTGTTGGCTCTAAAATTAGGGTTCTTTTCCAGAAATATAAGAATTCATGCAGGAAAATCTGGGCAAGAAAGTCTGGTGGGAAAAAAGATTTTTTAACTCTAGGTTGTATGTGAAAAAGGGGCATTTGATTTCCATTCACCAGAACATGATACCAGGTAAAATTAAAACCCCTTTCAATAAGTGGTTGTCCTGGAAAATAATATTAATATAAATTAATTAATATTAATTAATACAAATTGACTGAAATTTTGTCTGTTGGTTCTAAAGTTATGGTTCATTTCCAGAAATAATGAAGAATATAACTTAGTGACCTTACTTAATTGTGATATTTGTTTTAGTGTAATCATAGCATAAATAAATTCTGCATGTTAATCTTGGATTTGAATTTTATTTTGCAGTTTAACACAACCTTCAAAGTAATCAAGAAAGCCCCAAAGAGAAAGAGACCTGCAAGTACACCAACACAGAGAAAATCTGTCAAGGTTGAAAATGGATCAACAGAGAACCAAGGAAGTAGTTACAAAACTGGTATCAGACGTTCAAGTCGGTTACGAGGACAGGTAAGATCATGTGATTTAGTGAATTAGAATTAAAAATTAAGGCAGTTTTCAAGTGAAAGATCAAATTAAAAATGGCTGACTTCAACCAAATCAGTTCTGGAACAACATTTCTTTCATACCTTGACCAATCACGTTCAAACTTACAAATAAATCATACACCATGTCACACAGTATGTAATATATTTTTTTGATGATCAGCGTCCTGATTGCCGAATGCGACATAAGGACTATGATGTACATCATTTTATTTTTCAGACCGAATTCTAAATGGTCGACTTGCGACCATTTTGTTTTCACAAATGCTGTTCTGACACCATATCATTTTCAAACTTATATATAAATCGTGCATCATATGTTCATTTATTTGTTTGATGATGATTCAGAAAAGTAAAATGATGTCCAGTGTCTAGATTTTATGACTTGACGGCCACATTTTTGACATTTTGGTAGCTATCTACTTCCAGTCATTCAAAGAAATATCATGGTTTACTTCAGTATTGCAAATCAGATTCATCATGAGTAATACTATACATAAAAGCCTATTGTTAGCTCATCGACTACATACTTTTTTTTTGGTTGCAAAACGCAGTAATTTTCTTTGAATGGATTATATAATAAAGGGTCACTTTGTAACATGAAATCTGATTGGCTAATGGATGATCACAGCTGGCGCTGACAACGCTGTCTAAAAATGCATTTATACATGTAGTGGTCTATAGGCCAAGGTCTTGTTTGCGGAGATTCATCCCCAACAAACTTAACCCTTGGCCTGGCAAAGATGGTTAAGCACTATTACTGTTTTCTGATGAACCAATGCATTTCACATACATGTACCTGCAAAAATATTGAAAACATTTTTTACCAAAATACTTCACAGAACAATTAGATTAACTTAGATAGTTTTGAGGAAAGTGTCATATTTTCTGGGGAAATAAAAGATTACAATTATTTTCACCCTATTTATTCCTTCCTAGGATGCCCCAAGCTTGGAGGACATGGAACTAGAGACAAGTCAAGCTGATGACGAAGATGTGTACAGACGACCAAAGTTACCAAAACACAGGCCAAACTTTTATGGATTTGTTGAGGGTGAGGCATCCTACATACGTATTGAATGACTCTTCTTGTGGCATTTAATGAGTCCAAAATTTGACTATTAATTTGGTTTCTGTTTGTCTGTCTGTCTGTCTGTCTGTCTGTCTGACATTTGGGGACCTTAATATATCGTTTTTCAGATCTTATTCAGAATGACCAATTAGTGGCCATTTTGTTTGAATGAATGCAGTTTCAGAGGTATTTTTTTGACATACTTTGATCGATCATGTTCAATTGTTCACTGTAAGCACCCCCTCGAAAAAGTGTGCAAATGAAAATTTTAGTTTACCATGTGACAGATTAAGGGGGATTTTAGTGAAAATAAAATTGCGAAATTAGCTGCAATGTCATTGATTTCAACAGAATTGGTCACAAAAAATATGCACATTTTATTACAATATTAATTACATACATGTACCACCAGAATTTACAAGGTTTAAATTATTCATCATTATCTTCATTGTCGAATGTAATCGATCATTCACAAACCCTCAATGCAAAGCATTTCCCCCATGTTTCCTTGCATGATTTGACCTGCAACAACATCTTTTGAGCTGATAGGTCATATCTGTTAATAACCAATCAGAGTGCTGTGTTGTACCGATTACGAAGTAACAGGGCTTTGTGTCAAGATCGTACATACAGTGATACAGGTGCATGTTGTATTTTTTTTCTACAAAATTGCGGACAATAATTTTTTCTCTGTCTGTATGTGTGATTATAAATACCTCATTTTGTCAGTCCCACGCACAGTCATACTGCATTAAAATTGAAAAAAAAATTAGAATCACATGACAAACATGTATGTTGCCACTGACTTGTTATACTGTAATTGCACAGCCATTACATGTACATGTATAATGGTTCACTTGCAGGAGTTGAAATTGGAACACTGTGGCAGACAAGGCTTGAGTGTTGCTATGCTGGCATACATCGTCCTACGGTTGCTGGGATACATGGAGGAGAGGATGGATGCTACTCTATTGCACTCTCTGGGGGATATGAAGATGACATTGATCTTGGCGACAGTTTTACATATACTGGTGAAGGTAGGATGTTTTTATAGACCATATATAGTTCAAGTGTAAGTTAAAGTTGCATTTCCGCAAATCTGTGAGGTACCATATTCTGATCAATTTATAATAGATGTGTAATGAGAAAATGACTGCATAATATTTTCTCTTACATAATATATTTGTGTAAACAGTAGACATTGGGAGGTTGTTTGTACTTCAGGGTTAGTTACATTGGTCAGGACAAGATATTTATGTTCAATATTTAGCAAAAACCTTTTTAAACATTTCTTGTAGCTTTTCACAAATTTTTGCAAAGTGGCTTCGCAACTTACAAACTTCATACAATTGTATAACTTCTTGAAGGGCTTTTTTTGATAATGTCAAGTAGACTTGAAAATGAGCAAAATGTTGACAAGTCATTCTCTGTATTTAAAATACTGTTTTTTAGACATTACTAACATTTTATGGTGACAGAATAAAGCGAATTTTAGTC